CATGAGGGCGTCCAAGTCACCATGGCCATGCTGAAGCACACCCCCAAGCCAAACAGCCGACGCAAAGGCCCCGTGTCAGTTTGAAGCCTTGGTCTCACAGAGCCTATGACCGGTTAAGAGACAGCATTCACAACTGATCATTCTGGGGGTTCAGGAAGTTGTGCTTACCAACGAGCCGCACTGAAACACCTTGCCCATCCTGCTCAGAAACACACATGCTGCGCGTCTGCATGGGAGACACTCCACGGGGCCCTCAGCCCGGTGGCGGCCCCTGCAGGGCTGCAGGCAGGCTAGGGCAGAGCTTTCCTCACCTGACTTGGCAGTGCAGATAAGGGAGTAAGGTTACACTTTCCCTTACGTTTCCAAGGTGAAATGGGAACACTTGATTCTGTGCTACCCAAAAACAAAACAAAACAAAACAAAACAAAAAACGCCTCCCCACTCGCCAAATCTGATACCAAAAGTTAACCAGCTCTTGGAACTATGCTTCTAAAGAAAATGCATTAGTGAGGATTTTGACAGGAACCCCATTATACCCCTGCTGTGACTACAACTTCTGCAAGATCCTCTCATCAGAAAAAGAGGCTCGCTCCAATCGTCATAGAAAAAACAAAACATTATCTATTAACATTCTGTTTTTAGGGGTGGGAAACAAAAGGATCAAACATTTTCTTACCCTGTCTGACAACCAAGCGTGCTTTTCCCAACCCACACCGCAGTGACCAGCCCCCATTAAATCAGCTCCAGAGAACGAGACCCAGACCGAACAATGGATGATTGAACCGCTGAAAGACTAAGGGTTCTGTTTTTCTTCTAATCCATCCTGCATTAAGATCCACCTTAAAGGAGAAATATGTTCTAATGATACATTTTATCTTGCCAACTTCTCTTAATACATAAACAAATCATAAAAGGTAATCAAAGTACAGTCTTAACATAGTTTCAGGATTAGTATGCTATTTTGCTCAACTGTTACTTTACTATGTAATTTAAAACACTCCAGTCCTTGGTTACAATCAACCATTATCTGTGAACTAATCTTAAATAAAGGGGCAAAAACGCAGGCTCTGGGTGATCTGGCGGAGCTAGCAATCAAGCAGTAGAGGAAAGCCTTTCTTAAGAAGGTCCTGGGCTCCATTTTCAGACTATTCCACACCCTTTTTTAAATTTAAAAGGACCCATTTACAAGTGTTTTCCGTGTACAGGGTCACAGTTTCCAAATAGTAAAGGTCTACAGAACCGGATTAGTAGCACCTTCCTTTAGGAGAGCTTAAAACACCCTTGATGTTTATGGTCTTTACCTCCCAGTGGCCTTCCTCGGGAAAGGAGAGGGTTATAATTACCCCATTTTACAGACAGAGAAAGTGAGAAGACGGATTAAGTAGCTTGCCCAGTCACACAATGACTCGTTAAGACCAGCAGCTAGAAACCCGGTTTCCTGATTCCTGGCTTAGTGCTCCACAAACTGCGCTCGCTTCCTTCTACGAAGTCCTATTTTTGTAAAGGTTTCTCTTTCAATAAAGGAACTAGAACAAGTCATGTGACTTTCATTCACGAAAGCCTGCGTGTGTTTTCATTAGCACCTCGGCTGTTCCTCTGAAGAGGGCAGGAGCAGTGTACACCTCCTTTTCCCATCCCCAGAGCTGACAGCTAAGGCGGGGCAGCTCACCCCGAGCCAAACAAAGCTGGCGTCCCTGGTTGGCTCCTTTCCCTGGCTTTCCACACATACCCTGGCTACCTGCTTTAGGACCTCCGAATGGCCACACTTTCAGATGTAAATCGTGATTTCTATTCTTCCTTTGGAAACATTTCTCTTACTTCATAATTCTTTCACTCAGGACATGCATCGGACACAATTTCAATACCGACGTCCCCAGCAGCAATTCTCGCCGAATTTGTTTTTATACATAGATAGAAATCGGTTTTAGAATAAAAGTCCCACTGAAGAGGAACATTGGGCATATCTGCTGGTCCACAACAATCTATAATCCCACCGCAAAACTCTATTAAGCTAATTTAGAAAAGCAGTTCGGAAGCATTATAAATTCAGTAACATTTTTCCAGATGCTAACAACAAAACCTTAACAGGTCGGCAGGCTTTTTCTTCTCTCTCTCTCTCTCTCTTCCCCATCCCCCCACAGTAAGTAACCTTCCCTTGACCTCAAAAAGAGGCACAATTCAAAGTTTCCTCTGAACGAATGCACACATATACACACATCTCTGTCTATCACACTAAGTTTCTAATTGGCTCCTGCGTTTCAACCCCTCCCTGTTCCAATTCTATTGTAAACAACCACCAAACATTCCTGGCACTTCCTGCCTCTGCCTCTGTTACCACTTATGCAAATACTAAACCTTCCCCAAGTAACCCCAGATCCCTGCACTCCAGCATTGCCAGTGAGCTTTTCCCACGCTGACCAGGTCAGTGTGGAAACACTGGCCACTTCCGGGCCCAGGCCCCAGGCTGTCCAGGAAGTGAGTTTTCTATTTCATCTTCAAAGCAATGGTTTGCAAGTCTGACTTCTATAAATCATCTTCTCAAAGGCCACTTATCTGCTGTGAACTTTTTATTTACGAGCGCCACAAACAAACGACTTACGTGTATGTGTGAGTGAAAGCAGACCGCATGCTCACTCTGAGTTTCTGAATGTCCCCTTTCGGGCTCAACAAAGCACAGCTTCCAAGCTACGAGGCGGCACCCGGCACCCGGCTCTCCCTCTCTGCAAGTCAGTTTTCTAGAAATCCGAGCTGGCACATGGTGTGCTGTTTAAGATGTGGCTTTGGTCCCACAGGCCAGCTTTAAGATGGCCTTTCTCCTTCACGGAGGGCTGCTGACCCACCCGGACCACCCCTCACCTTTGTGCAGCATTGGCGGAGCATCACGAGTCCTGTAAGCGGAAAGGAATTCTACACTGCTGGGAACTCGAGCCACATCAGATCTCTAAACATACTTGTCTTTTGCAGTTCCAAATTTTCACAAAGCCCATTTTCTGATATATGAATCCTGTTTCTGTTGCTTCATCCAAAAAGTCCCAAGTCCTTCCTGGCCTGAAGGAGCAAACGCCAAGCGATGCCCCTGCTCCCTGCAGGGCCCACTCCTGGGGCCCCTGGCTCAGGTGCAGGTCTGCACTGCTGACTTCCCCCAAGGCCGCTTTTCTGATGACGGCCACACCCAGGTGAACGTGGTGGCATCCATGCTCACTGTGCCCATTTGAGCATACACGTGTGTGTGTGCGTGTGATTTTTCCCATTCAAGTACACGCTGGCCTGTGCTCACAGGTTCTCTGTGTTGGAAAGCAGCTCACCCTTCAGCTCCCCGCCATAAGCTATGCTTCAGACCCACTAGGGTATCAGCGTACCTGCAGATGCAGTGACCTGCGAGAGCCACGTTCACAGCACGCGTCCTGGCGACTTCCCTGGCTGTACGGAGGTGCTGAAATGCCACACTCCTGACTGTCTACGAGCCGTTCATCCCCTGATGACTCTCTACCACGCTTTCATCTCCCATTCAGTAGTTTTAATAAAAAAGGAAGGAGCTTTTCTCAACTCAACAGCAGGGTATTTACCTGCAGCTATAATTTTAAATCCCATTCACCCACAGTCCCAAGTACACGCTAAAACATAGACCAGCTCTAGACAGCTGTTGACTCTCTGAACAAAAGGCGTGTGGGTTCCCAAGCCACCTCCCAGTGCGCATGGCCTCACATCCCTGTAGACCCCGGACCCCAGGCCTGCATCCAGGCGACACTCTGCTCCTGTTTCGTGGTTCTCACGGAATGGCTAGCCCACTAGCAACCCACAGAGTGGCAGCTCCACGTAAAAATTCTCTCCAAGGAACACTGCAGCCCCTGCTGCTGCGCGGCCTCCACACATTCAAAGGCAAAAAACTGCAGGGCCCGCGCCCCTCCCCCTGGGTCTTTGGTAAGAATGTGAAGAACTCCAAGAGGCACCCTTCCATGCAATTGTTCTGGAAAAGCCCTGGGCTTTCTTGCCCTTGTTTTCCTGGAAGCACCGAACTCTATCCTGGCTGCACATTAACATCACCTGGGCACGAATGGAGGGGAGGGCATTGCAGCGTGGCCACCCCCAGGGGGTGATTCCTCACTTTTCCTTTCTCCTCTTTCCAGCAAGCACATACATACACCCTATGCTTAAAAATAAAACAAAACGAAATGCACTCGAGCAACCCTGAAAACGCTGGGCCCTGGTCCACATCCTCTGACTGGGGTGAGGCCCAGCAGGCAATTTCTCAGCGGGGTCCCAGTGAGTGGTGGCTAAGGCTCTGGGACTCCCGGGCAGCTGTGCACGGTCAGGCCCCTCCCCAGACTCGCACTGTCAGGATCTCCCGGCTTTCCCAGCCAAGCCAGCCGTGTTAGCAAGCCTTCCAGGGGCTCTCCCATGCCGGCTCTTCCACAGCGCTCTGGGCCCAGCCCTCCAAGGGAAACGCAAGCCTCTAACGGAAACCCCCACAGTGGATGTGAAAGATGGAGAGGGCGGATGGCTCCCCGCAGCAGCCCCTAAACTGAGCTCGTTTCTCAAACGAATTCCAGGTCTATTTTCGTAAGCCTCGAGGCTCAGCAAGCAGCAGCTGGGGCTCAGCTTCAGGAAAAGACAGGGGTGCAGGCTGCAGGCTGGCCAGCAGGAGCAGCCAGGGCCCTCGGGCCCTCGGTAGCAGAACCTCTCGACCGCCCTGAGCTCTTCGGTGTAGCCCATTTGGGAAACCACCGTGGTAATAGGTGGGAAGAGGGCCGTGCACAGGAAACGGGCCGGGTCTACACAGCCACTCTCACTCCCGTGTGGAAAGCCTCACTTCCACTCAGACCACCCGACTGCTCCTGGCAGATTCTCAGGCGAGGTGAACACGTCAGCCAGATTGAAGCAAAACACGTCGGAGCCCACGGTTGGCCTTTAGGTCAAGGCACCAGCGAAGGGGAGAGAAGCGAAACCCAAAGACCTCGCGCGCCCCCATCCTCTGCCTGCCTCCACACCTAGGGCCTCACCTTTCACCACTGTGGCCTCCTTCAAGTGGTGGGACAGGAAGTCAATGCTGGCGTACGTGCTGGCAGAGGACAGCGCGCCAGGGCCAGGGCCCCCACACACGCCACTGGTGCTGCCGCTGCCCACCGCGCTCATGAGGCCTCCCAGGCTTCGGGTCCGGCCCCAGGAGGCCTTCTCTCCCGGATGGGGGTGCAGCGGCGGCGGGGCCGGGAGCCCAGGCTCGTCTCTGACGTCGATGGCGATATAGTTGAGGCCGTTCTGGAAGCCAGCGGAGGTGTCTCTGCGCATGGAACCACTGCTCCCGGGGCAGCCAGTCAAGCCCCCGGGCTGCCCAGGGGTCCAGGGCCGAGGCTGTGCTGGTGGTGGGGGCACCGGGAGCGATGGCTGTGAGTGCTGGGGGGACGTGGGTGCCTCGTCACCTCCTCCAAGGCCCCCGAGGACACTGCCACCACCTTCGCTGCTTTTCCTGAGAGACACGTTTTCCACAGAGGCTGAGTTGTGGCGCTTAGGGTTGTGGGCAAAGGACGGGGACACCGGGGTGACGGTGGTGGTCGAGGAGAAGGTCTCCGAACTGTGGCGGCGCCGGCCCCCCTGTGGATCCGCCCGGATGACCTTGGCCCCCCGGTGTGGGTCTGGGGGCTGGCTAGCCTGCAGGAAGGCCTCTACCCCGGACACGTGGTCCATGAGAGACAGCCTCTTCACACCAGAGGTGGGACTGGTCACACGGGCACCTTCTGGCTTTGGGGGAGCCACGATGGGCTGTGGCGGGGTGGCAGCCACGCCAAAGGCCATCTCGGTGTAGTCCCCGTTGTCCCCGGTCTCCGAGGACGATGAAGAGGCAGCTCCGGGGCCCTGGGAGGAGGCAGCCATGGAGGCCGGAGGCAGGCGGGACAGCTCC